GATCTATTCTTGGCTTTAATACATAGTGCAGAAATGCAATATTTACTGTAACCAGTACTGGAGATTTCTCAGTCCTCAATCTCTGTGTTGTAAAGTTAAGCATCTGTGAAAATAATAATAATTGAAACTGATAGCATTTCTATCAGGCCTTCCATCAGAGGGTGGAAGTTTCAGGGGGTTCACAGCTATACAGAAGGAAGCCCTACAATTTGTCCTTGAGGAGCAGATGGCCTTTTTCTATTATGGAGATGAGGAGCTGAAGCACAGTTGAGAAGTGTGTCTTATGATGCCAAGCTTTTTTTCAAAAGTAATTTACTTTTTGGGTGCTAGAATTCCATCAACTCTCAATAGCCTAAAGCGATTTCAGTGCTTTGCCCATTTTTAGCTTGTGTGCCACGGAGAGGTTCGGACAGAACCGGGAGTCTGAACTGAAATCAACAGCAATTCTTTCCTCGACAATTGATTTGGGTTTTTTTTTTTGTTAATGTAACTATTTCTCTTGTGTACTAGCTCTGTGCTAGATGATTAAACGTGGTAGAATAAGAGCATCTTCCAAATCTACCCTCCTTGGTTTATTGTTCTGTATGGAGATGACTTCTGGGCTGAGGAGGGGAGTCTTGAACTTGCCTCTTTGGCCAGACCCTTGATATCTTGTTGATGCCTGGGCAGGTTGTGTGACCTCTTCTGAGACCCGTGGTGCTCAGTCTGTGCTGCTGTTTGCACCCACACCTGCTGGAATAAACTGGCCTTCCATAGGCGCTGGCCACATTGCTACATGCCCGCAGCGGGAGGGGGACATATGGAGGGCTTCTGAAAGAGCCACCTGAACCCTCCATGCACAGTGGAGACAGAGAAGCTAGGCTTTTCACTGGAGGGGTACCCAATGATGCTTTACATTGGTAGACAGAAGGTTTAGGCAAGGGTGAACTTCAGATCTGGGCCAGTAAATGGAGCTCTGTGCATACCTTTTTTTCTTGGGAGAAAAGGCAGCTGGCTGGGGGGAACTGGGTCTGTGCAGCCCCTGCCCACGAGCACTGACCCCAGTGCCGGGGGTGACTGGGCAGCTGAGCAAGTCTGGTGGGAACATAATATTTGCAGGTAGCTTTGAGCAGGGAGATGGAGGAAGGTGTTTGCAGGGACTGTGAAATTGCATTTGCTTGACTGTGTCTGGTTGATTTTCTTTATATTAGCAAAATTACTCTGAAATAATGAATATATCAACGTCATCAGTGTACGCTGAGATGGCAGTGCTGCTCATTCCTGGCAATCTATGATGTGCTGTTTGTCTCCTTTCTAAGAGAGATCACATTTTTTAAGACTTCATTTTATTGCTTTAGCTTCATGAGTTTATCTGAACTTGGCTCCTGTTATCTGGAAAATAAATGGAGGATGAAGTATGATTTATACTACAGTTTGGCCCAATTGCTCTTATTAGAAGGAAAAATACATTTATTGAATGCATTGAAGCTGGAATTAGCTCCTCAGTGATGATGATAAATGCTTGCAGTCCTGTAAACGTACTGAACATTAAGTTGCTAAATTACTGTACCACTTTGAGATTGATTATCAAGTTTGGCCCTTTAAGCTTCATGACCCACACATATATCCTGAGGACTACTGACATCCTGAGGCTTCCTTAATGCTCTTTTTTTCCTAATTAAACTTTTTATTGAATTTTCTTACCCTTTTAATACTTGTTTTGATTCTCTCATGTGCAAATGACAAAAGACTTGCACCAGCCATGTGATTCTCTGTTTTAGAACAGTCCCACTTTGCAGGATTAGCCATTTTTAATGACTTTAATCTCCTTTTTGAAAGTGATTTTTCTCATTCTGCTACATTCCTTCAATTGCATTAATGTAGAATTATTATTCTAACCATCGTTGCTATACATGTCACATCACATCAAAAAAATATCTTCCCGCTAAAATATTACTCTGGTAAAATACCTTAGAATTTCTTTCTCAGATCATTATACGTCTTTTCTTCAATGTAATATGACATGTTAAAATTAACAAGGCTATTTTTCATTCCATAAAGAGATTAATGATAATGAGTTTTCCCTAATTTCTTTGGTTTAGGCGTTTAGTAATTTAGTATCTTGTTTGTAAGGAAGTCAAGGTAGATTGTTTCTGGGCTTTAAAGTTTTCTAATTCTTTTTAAATTCTAAAAGTATGAGAAAAGGGTGAAATAAAAATAATCTAGAAATTACACATGAAAATCAGTGAAAACTCTAACAAATGGAGTCAGTCTTTCCTTTCAACTGTCTGTGTAAGTGCTTCCATTTTTATTGAAACACTGCTTTTCAATCTGAGAAACGTTAAGTTTTTTGAATCCAAATTATATTAGCACAGCAACGTCTTTGTACATCGCTCACAAAGTAATACCAGCTTTCTTGGATTTTGTTTTCTGAATAGCCCAATATGTTTGAAGAGCAGCAGCTGGAGGGGAACTGGCCCTAGTTGAATGTTAGAGTGCATTTTGAGGTAGATTGGTTCGTTTCAGAGGCAAAAGAGGCCTGCTAGCAGATTTGTTCAATTTGCATGGTGGACCAGTGTAATGGTTGGCATAAGCACATATGGATGCAACGAAGTTAGAGCAGTGGGTCCAGTCTGTGTTACCACTGGATTTGGCCCATTGCATCTCCAGTTTCAAGGCTGAACAATGCGGCTTTATTTGTTGGAGCCGCCTGAAGTACTCAGGGTTCTCCCTGGCATGGTGCAGCCCCTTCCTCTGCCTGCCACTGCCCAGCACGAAGCACGAGTAGTCTGGCTGCAGATGGAGAGGTATTTCAAATGTGTGTATTTTTGTAATACTTTGTGCAAAGTGAACATTTAAAATTATTTTAACTGCAGCCAGTAAGGCTGAGCAGTAAGTACCACGATGGTGGTGTGCTTTTTTCCCTGTTGTTTTTCTTCTCCCCCCGCCCCCCCGACGGACAGCAGTAGCGGTTGCAAAATCAACATGTGCTGCCCTAGTTCAGGCCCAGCATCCCCCTCTTTCTTCTCCCCTTTGTCTCCTTTCCCCTGGAGGAGCCCAGCTGGTGAGAGGAGGGAATTAGCCAGCCCTGAGCTACCGGCACCTCCCTGGGGCCCCTAATCCAGGCACTGGCAGCCGGCTGCCTTCTTCCCTCCGCTGGCCATGTCCATGGGTCCATGGGGATGGAGCCCTGGATGCGGCTGGCAGCAGAGACAGGGGCTGGGGGCTCCCTGGGGACAGAGCGAAGCTGTGCCGGCAGCCGGGCGGGCGGCGGAGGTGGCGTAAATTGGGAACATGAGGTTTTGTTGCAGACACAGAGACAGACCAGTGTATGGTTGGGGGAGCGAAGCCTGGGAAAAGTTCATGTAAAAAGCAGGGGCTGATCACCGTGTGTTTCAGGTCTGGGCTCGGCAAGGCTTGGGGGAGTTAGTTGAGCACAAAGACCTTGAGCATCCTAGAAGCACGGGTGCTTGCTGAGAGCCAGGATGCATTTTAGGAGTGGAAGGAAGCGTGTTCTCAGTGTGTGTCATCTCTCTGGAGCAGGAGGTTTAGTTAAACGGGGGAGTGGAGCTCCCTGGGAGCACAGGGCAAGGGGAGCTGGTACCCGACCCTTGCATCCAGAAAACAGGCAGCCCCGTTGTGCAGGAAAAGTTGTTTGGTGTGTGATTATTTGTTTTAGTTTTTCCAAGGTAGCTGTGCTCTCTCTTTTCCTGGGATGAAAAAGGAGGTCTTTGCCACAGCAAACAGTGCCACAGGAGCCAGCCTCTTACAGTGGTGATATCCTCATTAGCTGACCCTTTCTTTGAGAGCTTCTCCACCGTACATGTGCTCTTCTCCGCCTGGTGACTCTGTAGTTGGCAGGCACAAGGAGTGCGCGTGTGGCAGCCTACACGCACAGTTGGGGATTTTTTTATTGGTTTGTTTTAGTAAGAACTGAAGTAGGAACATTAAATCTTTTATAAGGACAATGTATCTGGAGAACCGGTTTCTTTTTTGAATCTCCAAATGTGTATGTGGTCAGTGCCTTCCCTCATTTACATGGATTTTGGTTTTGCTTTGTTCCATGGTTCAGTTTTATATCAGAATAGTGGCATTTTTGCTTCTTTCAACATCTCCACATATATTGGAATTAGGATAGTTGAACTCATTCTCTTCTGTTTCTTGTTAACTATTCTGTTTATGAAAGCTGCCAACATTTTATGTATTTTTCCTAAAATGACTGTTTTGCTGCTGGAGTCGGTGCTGTGTTTCTTTATGGTAATATCGAATTATAAAATATTTTCCAAAGCCCCATATTGAGCAAAGGAAATAGTTATTAAACAGAGGCTTGGCCATTGTTGGTTTATCCTGAAGTTGATTCTTTTGTGATGTCTTGAGGTCTCCAATAGTGATTTTCTGCGCTTTTTTAATTTTTATGGTTTTGTACCAAGCAGGCAACATTACCTTTCATGTGAGCAAATTTGGTGATGGTACAGATCTCTTCTCTGATTTTCTTGAGCTGTCTCAAATCTGATGCTTTTATTTAACTGAGATGTTTGACTCTGCTTTTGAGCAGCCTTTCATTCTGTTCAATTCTGAGACAAACTGGAGAATTTTATTTAATGGAGACATTATTTAAAATCATCTTTATGTAGCATTTAAAAAGACACACAAAATCACAGGTGATGACTTAACACTGTAGCTTTTCAAAATGTTTGTATTGCTTCATTGCACATTGTGTTTTGCTTTCTTTATTCATTGTTTATTGCTTTACAGTACAGTAAGCAGGTGTTAAACCTGCTAAAGAATGCTTTTTATTAATACTATATGTTGGCATATTTGTGAATTATGTATACAACTATATTTTTATTTCTCTTTCTCAAACCTCGTTTGAAATTCAAGATCTTTTTTTTTTGTTGCCTTTTTCTTTTTTAAATGCTGTAGTAGCAGAAGCCCATAGTGTTGTTGAGAGCTTTGTCCTTATTTCACAGATGCACTGGGAATTGTTTTTAATCTCCTTTCTGCTTTCCCATTACAGATGGTGATGACGACCCACAACTCTCCTGGGTGGCTTCATCTCCCTCCAGCAAAGATGTTGCATCACCCACTCAGATGATAGGAGATGGGTGTGATCTCGGCATTGGGGAGGAGGAAGGGGGGACTGGCCTGCCGTATCCCTGTCAGTTTTGTGATAAGTCCTTCATTCGCCTGAGCTACCTTAAAAGACACGAGCAGATCCACAGTGACAAACTACCTTTCAAATGCACCTACTGTAGCCGGCTTTTTAAGCACAAGAGAAGTAGGGATCGCCATATAAAGCTTCACACAGGGGATAAAAAGTACCATTGCCATGAATGCGAGGCTGCGTTCTCTCGCAGCGATCACCTCAAAATTCACCTGAAAACCCACAGCTCCAGCAAACCGTTCAAGTGTACTGTGTGTAAACGTGGGTTTTCATCTACCAGCTCATTGCAGAGTCACATGCAAGCTCATAAAAAGAACAAGGAACATATGGCAAAGACTGAGAAAGAGGTGAAGAAGGATGATTTTATGTGTGATTACTGTGAAGAGACATTCAGTCAGACTGAAGATTTGGAGAAGCACGTAATGACACGCCACCCACAGCTTTCCGAGAAGGCAGATTTGCAGTGTATTCATTGCCCTGAAGTATTTGCAGACGAAAACTCGCTGCTCTCACACATTCATCAAGCCCATGCCAACAAAAAACACAAGTGCCCTATGTGCCCAGAGCAGTTTTCTTCAGTGGAGGATGTCTATTGCCACTTGGACAGCCACAGACAACCTGACTCCAGCAATCACAGCATCAGCCCTGACCCAGTCTTGGGGAGCGTGGCGTCAATGAGTAGCGCAACGCCTGACTCTAGCGCATCAGTGGAAAGAGGTTCCACCCCAGATTCAACCTTAAAGCCTTTGAGAGGACAAAAGAAAATGAGATCTGTGGACAGAGAGGAAGGCCAGAACTGGTCTAAGGTTACCTACAGCTGTCCGTACTGCTCGAAGCGCGACTTCAACAGCCTTGCTGTTCTGGAGATCCACCTGAAGACGATTCATGCAGACAAACCTCAGCAAAGCCACACGTGCCAGATCTGCCTTGATTCCATGCCTACACTGTACAACTTGAATGAACACGTGAGAAAAGTGCACAAAACCCATGCCTATCCTATGATGCAGTTCAGCAACATTTCTGCCTTTCACTGTAACTACTGCCCAGAGATGTTTGCAGACATCAATAGCTTACAAGAACACATCCGTATTACTCACTGTGGACCAAACGCAACCCCTCAAGATGGTAACAACGCTTTCTTCTGTAACCAGTGCTCCATGGGCTTTCTGACCGAAGCAACCTTGACTGAGCATATTCAGCAGACTCACTGCAATGTAGGAAGTTCAAAATTGGATTCTCCTGTCATTCAGCCAACACAGTCTTTTATGGAAGTTTATTCATGCCCTTATTGCACAAACTCCCCCATATTTGGCTCCATCCTGAAGCTTACAAAGCATATTAAAGAAAACCACAAGAACATTCCTCTGGCACACAATAAGAAGTCAAAAGCAGAGCAGAGTCCAGTTTCTTCTGATGTTGAAGTCTCTTCCCCTAAAAGGCAACGGCTTTCTGCTAGCGTAAATTCAGTGTCTAATGGTGAATACCCATGTAATCAGTGTGATCTGAAGTTCTCAAATTTTGAAAGTTTTCAAACCCATTTAAAATTGCATTTGGAGTTGCTGTTGAGGAAACAGTCTTGCCCTCAGTGTAAAGAAGACTTTGATTCCCAGGAGTCTCTTCTGCAACATCTCACCGTGCATTACATGACAACTTCAACTCATTATGTGTGTGAGAGCTGCGACAAACAGTTTTCTTCAGTGGATGATTTGCAGAAACATTTGTTGGACATGCATACTTTTGTGTTGTATCACTGCACACTTTGCCAAGAAGTTTTTGATTCCAAGGTATCTATCCAAGTGCATCTGGCAGTCAAGCATAGCAATGAAAAGAAGATGTATCGTTGCACAGCCTGTAACTGGGATTTTAGGAAGGAGGTGGATCTCCAGATCCATGTGAAGCATAGTCACCTGGGGAATCCGTTAAAGTCTCACAAATGCATCTTCTGTGGTGAGACCTTTAGCACAGAGGTAGAGCTGCAGTGTCACATCACAACCCACAGCAAAAAATACAACTGCAAATTTTGTAGCAAAGCTTTTCATGCCATCATCTTGCTTGAAAAGCACTTGCGGGAAAAACATTGTGTTTTTGATGCTAGCGCGGAGAATGGTACGGCTAATGGCATGACCCCAACTAACAAGAAGACAGAAGGGGCAGATATCCAAAACATGTTAATGAAGAATCCAGATACTTCCAACAGTCATGAAGCCAGTGAAGATGATGTAGACGCTTCTGAGCCCATGTATGGCTGTGACATTTGTGGGGCTGCCTACACTATGGAGGTTCTCTTGCAGAACCATCGTTTGAGAGACCATAACATCAGGCCTGGGGAGGATGACTGTTCTAGGAAGAAAGCAGAATTCATCAAAGGTAGCCACAAGTGTAATATCTGCTCAAGGACCTTTTTCTCAGAAAATGGCCTGAGAGAGCACATGCAGACCCATCGGGGCCCAGCCAAGCACTACATGTGCCCCATCTGTGGGGAACGCTTCCCATCACTCCTGACCCTGACGGAGCACAAAGTCACTCACAGCAAGAGTTTGGATACAGGCACGTGTCGGATTTGCAAAATGCCGCTGCAGAGTGAGGAGGAATTTATTGAGCACTGCCAGATGCATCCAGATCTCAGAAACTCCCTCACTGGGTTTCGCTGTGTTGTCTGCATGCAGACAGTCACCTCTACCCTTGAGCTGAAAATTCATGGGACGTTCCATATGCAGAAATTGGCAGGAAACTCTGCAACCTCGTCTCCCAATGGCCAGGCCTTGCAAAAACTCTACAAGTGTGCGTTGTGCTTGAAGGAGTTTCGGAATAAGCAGGACTTGGTAAAGCTGGATGTGAACGGCCTTCCCTATGGCCTGTGTGCTGGGTGCATGACCAGGAGCACCAATGGACAGTCTTCGGGCTTGACTCCACAGGAGGTGAACGAGAGACCGTGTGGCAGTCTGAGGTGTCCAGAGTGTAGTGTTAAATTTGAAAGTGCTGAAGACCTAGAGAGCCACATCCAGGTAGACCATCGAGACCTGACACCTGAGACTAGTGGCCAAAGGAAAGGTACCCAGACATCCCCTGTTCCCAGAGTAAGTACAGTTGAACTTTAGAATATCTGAGGGATAAAATGTAGACCTTCAATGTGACTCAGAACTGATCCGATGTGTCTTTTTTAAACTGTCACTTTATAAAATTACTTGTTCTACTAAAAAATACAACAAAAGAGGAGGAAAGGTAGAGTAAGGCACATAGAAAAATTAAATGCTGCTCAGTCTTGCAGGCTCCTTGATTCCTAGTGGAGTGCACTAGTTTTTTTTTATCATAAAAGTGCCCTAGATTTACCAACAGAGAGCTGAGACTCTTGAATGATGGGGATTGAATTTGTCTCTGAGTTCTGATGCTTCTGAACTGGCAGACCTGGAAAAGCCGGGAGATTTCCAGGAAAAAAGGGAGATGCTGAGTACCCAAAACAGAAAAAGAAATCTGATCTGTCCTTCTTGAGGAATGAGAGTTGAGTTCCTACCAGCAAATTAAACATGATCAGGGGCATAAAGGAACTTGGAAGGAAAAATTTAGTGAATTCCACCCTAACCCCCCCAAGTTCTCACCTAAAACAAATTTCTGTGCTAAAGAGCTTGTTGTTATGGATGTCTGTCAGAGTGAACGTTGTGAGGCTATTGGATGTCTGTGTGTATGTATACCTGTGTGCTTGTATGTGTGTGTGGATGATTTTAAAAGTGATTTTAAAAGGATCTGCTACATGGCCCTCCTGTAAGATAAGTACTTTTCTTAGCATATCTGGAAATTCTTGTCTAATGAAGGTTACATCTAATTGTGCTTTCCTTTAATGTTTGCAGATAGCCTGCTTTCCTGTTTCTTAGCTTAGGAGATACTTGGGAACATGCAGATTCAAGAAGGGTTTCAGAACTCTACTGAGGAGATTAATATCATTTGCAGTTTATAGTCTTTTAAAATTATTTGTTGACGTTTTGGTTCAAGAATGGGCCAAGTCAGTCCTTCCTCTGTCAGGAACAGATGGAATGAGAAGTCGATTTTGGAAATCTTCTCGGGAGACCAACAGCAGACACATCTGAGTATTGATATCATCTGACATTTTTAATTAAACATGATGGGGTGAGATTTTCAAAAGTATCTAAGGAAATTAGGCACCCAACTCCTAATGAATAATTCCAGCCGTAGATGCCTGTTTATGCCAATCTGCTAATTAAAGCACCCACAAACACTCTTCCATCTCACTGCATTAAAAGTATCTGAAAATACCATTCAGCCAGAAGACTGGAAGCTCAGTAAGTAAGAGAAAACCCTAAGTACGGCCTGAGGACACGGAGTGAGATGCCTGCACTAGAGGTGGTGCAGGCTGTGTGTGTCCCCAGTGGGATTTGTTAGTGCTGTCTCAGCACCGGGATGCGTGAGGCAGCAGTGTCTGGCGGAGCTGGGCTGTGCATGGTCAGCTCGGAGCATGGCACTGCCTGCGCCAGCACCCGCTGGCATCAACACCCCATTCCTGGCTTCTGAGCAAATCCCACAGAAAGTTTAATTTCTTGGTCTTTTGCTTTTTTAGTTAAACAACTGGATATTGCTCCCTCTGTGTGCTGTGAATGTATGATTAAACCTCCAGGCACACACACCTAATTCTGTAGAAGAATGAGGAATGGAAATATCCCTCCTTTGGTGTGATACCTCTTGAGAATTCGGCTGGGGCTCTGGCTAGGTCATTCTTCTTCCTCCTCCTCAGGCCTTTGTTTCCTTCTAAATTCTTTAAAACACCTCTGTTCTCTTAGGTAAGACTAATTCTTACTTCATGTGGCTGTGCCTATAGCCTAAAGTATTACCTTTTCTTTCCTATTGACTATCAGAAGCAGAATACATTGCCGTTTTCTGCTCCTATTTCTTGCTTTAACTCTTTCTTTTCAGTGACAGCTTCCATACTTGCTCTCTCAAGGGAGACTTTGAAGTTCTTCAATAAGGTAAATGCTTTGAATTTCATCCCATGAGGGAAGGTCTTAGTTCCTTTGTAGAAGATAACGAAAAATCAGCATTTATGATGACGGCAAATAGTACCTTCAACAGGTGTCTATGGCCTGCACATATGCAGATACTAGAGACCTTTATGATATGTATACCAGGAATAGATATAGTTATTATGAATAATTCGTTATCTTACCCTTCATTATGGGTACAAAACCTGAATTCAGCTATCAGTTCACATGGAAACTATTGGCATTTCACTTAATTTTCTCAAGGCAATGACTGCTCTTTGTGTCTGCCTACCACAGGATTTTTTAAAGAATTACACTGTCTCTTAAATGATGGCAAATCTCTGTATTTGAGGAACAGCATTTACTTCTTTGGCTTCATAGAAAAGTAAGCAAGTTGAATACAGTCTCTCTTGTCATCTTGTTAGTACGCTTTGCACAGGTAAAATACCATTTTATTGGAGCAATCTTAAGTGCACAATGCATGTAGAATAATTTGCAGATGTCCAGAAGAAAAAAGCTGTTTCTCTCCAGTTCATGAGTGCTTCTACATTTCTTTTTTAAACACCCTATTGATTTTTCTTTCTTAAACAGAAAAGCAGTTGAAGATTAGGACAAGGTACAGTAAGAAAGAAAGTATAGGGAAATTCGATTTTAAGTAGATTTCAGAGTAAATAAGAATAGGCAGAATGAGATCCAAGCAAATGGAAAAGATGATGATGACATACAAAATCTGTAACTTCTTTCACTGTCAGAAATCACTGCACCAGCAGTTGCTGGTTACTTCTTGAATTGAAGAAATCACCATGGAAGCCTAAAAGAATTTCAGGGGGAAAAAAATTTAAATGAAGATTTAACCCCAAAGGGAAAAAAAGGAAGAAAACACATATTAGCTCTTGATGAATAAAAAGAGAAAATATTTGGGAAGGGAAAAAAAGCAGGAGAAAAAGAACAATTCCTGTTTACTGTAAGCATTAAGTTTTGTGTATATATGCACACGGATATAGCACAACAAAGTGAGTATGAATATTTTGTATATTATGTTTCAGTTTTTTACTGTTGAACTTTTGGAGGTTTTGTTCTGAAAATCAGGTTGGGACAGCTAGATGAGGATCAAAAAGCACTCAGAATTGCTTGGCAGTTTGGGGTTTTTTTTTAAATCCGTAAGAATGAAAGCAAGCATGTAAACCTTGAAAATGCTGCTTTTATCTGTCTTTTTCGGTAACATTGTAGTATAGCTATTAACCAGGAAGAAATTTCTGTGAATTGATCGCATTTGTTTCTAGAACTTCTAACTAGGATCCAGTCATAACGGTCAACAAGATGATAGGTTTCCAAATGGCCAAATTTTTGCCTTGTGTGCATGGCAACATCTGCATTGTAGGATTTGTTATTAGGAGATTTTGGGTCAAATCAGTAGTTTTCCATAGGGAACATCACTAAGAGGAATAACTAAAACAGACCTTAGTAGTAAAAGATTTTTCTAACATCAATTTGTGATTGATACTTACAGTTTTACATGAGCTATTCTGTTTGGATAGGACTGAAAGATTATTTTTAGATAAGCATCACAAGTGGAGGTACCATTCCAGTACCTGACACATGTATAGCTTAAGACCTTTTCTAATTCTATTATGATTGTATCAGAGGTAATGCTTTTATGTTTCTCTGAACATATTTCTGTGCGTAGGAGCTTCAGTTTTGAATATATTCTATTAATTCCCTTTAAGATGTCTTATAGAGGAATCTGCATGTCTTGAGAAACGTGACTAGTTGTTTATTATTGAGATTTCTCATCACCTTTTGTAATACTAGGAACAGTCATGCTTCAAGCTGTTCTTTCTCTTACATAGATTTATCCTTATTCTGTACCTTAGTTATCTTCAACAGTACTTGTTTAACATTGACAATGGCAAATGCTTAGTCTTCCGTTAAATTTCCATCTTGAATGGTGTTATATTTTTAGCCCACCTAGATTATTTGGATTGAAGAAGCAAAGGAGGTGGCATAGAAAGTTGGAAGAATGAACCCTATTGTGTTGCTTTTCTCAGTTCTTTTTCTCCTGCACACTTTCTTGGACTCAATTCCTTCTCTTTGTTCTTCCCCGCACCCCTTCTCTTCCCTTGTAAATCCACTTGAATGGAGGAATATTTTCTTTGTAGAGCAGGAAACCATTTCCAGATTTAAAGGAGGACAGTCTGGAAAACCCATGGGAACAATAGTTACTTTAGAAAAGAAACCAGAACCCTCTGTTGTTATTAATGCTATTATGTGCCAAGGTTAGAATAAAATATCTTGACTTAATGGGGAGTGAAGCCTCAGCTAAATGCCTGCTCATCTGGTCTCTTTTGTCACCTAGATGCCATCATCTAGGCTCTGTTAGCTCCTCGGAGTCTGTTCACCTTTGTTGTCACCACTTGTGAAGACAGAACTTTAAAAAGAGATTACTGACCCATTAAAATGTCTGTGAAGCCACAATATCCACGAAAACAGTAGTAGAAGATCTTATTTGGTACCACAAATAACACACCCTTGTATTCAAACTAGTGCTCCCCATTTATTAAGAATGGAAGTCTAGTTTTGTAACATTCTTTTAAAGAGAATTATTAGTGAGCCAAGAAATCAGCTCTTCCATCTCTTGCATATACATTTGGGTGCTAATCTAGTTGTAGTTACTTTGTGGCCTGTATAAGGCCATTTATTAATCTCACTCCATATTGAGCAGGGTACCCTGTCACAAGACTCATTGCCTCAGTTCAGTTAAGCTGCTCTTGTGCATGCATGTGTCTCAGCTGAGGCTGAAGATAATACCAAAAGGAAGTCTGAAATATGCCATCTTCTCTGAGGGGTGTCACGCCAAGTGGAGTGTTTTATAAGTTTGTGAAATGGTGTGGAGGAGTTTACACTGGCTCTGTGGGTAAACAAAGACATCCTGTCTCCAGATCTGTTAGCAAGTAGCTTTCAGAAGCACCAAAATCAATTAAAAAAAGAATCATTTGTCTGTGTTTAATATAACTTTAAAGGTTTGAAACAGAGTTGAGCTGAAATATTGTCCTTTTTAGGTAGTTACTTATGGAACTCTCAAAACAGAGATAAGTGTTGAACAAGGCACAGATCTTAGTCAGCTTTGAAGTTTTACAGAGGAAGGTTTCAAGTTTTAAACATGACCACATGAATCCCTCACCACCCAAATCCTGTTTTTCTCCTCCAAGGTTTTTTGTGTTTTGCTTTGTTTTTAAAGTTAGGAGACTTCAGCATGTGTATGCCAGCATATTTTAGAGGACATGTGTATGTGTGTGTGCTGTGCTTGTCTGCCAGAAGAGAATCCCAAGAAAGAGTGCTGCAGAAATCCAGCTGCTTTTCCATTAACAGCCTTGATTTCCGAATGGACTCCAGGAGGATACTTTCTGGAGCTGCCTAGGGATAACTAGCCAATCCAAACTGTTTCCTTTTATATGGTTGGCTGTGTTAGGTTTTGGCCAATGGAGTGCAGCCTTCTTCCTATTATCATGTTAATCACCCATTGTTATTTTAGCCTGGAAGGCCTTGCCTATGTGCAAACACATACTGTGTACAGAATTCATGGAATAGGCATAACATCCATAGACTGGTGCATTTGTTATTATGGTATTACAGCATGTTCATTAACCTCCAGCAGGCTAACTTGTTGCCATTGATGACATGGGAAGTAGTTAAGAAGCACTTGGCAGCACCTAATTTGTTCTTTCCTCAGCAGGTGTTCAAGGAAATTGGACCCATGCACAGAGGAGGTGACAGCAACTCCTCTGTTTAACTCAAAACTTCTGACTTATTACTGCTGTCCTAAAAATGGGATTCTATACATAGGTGTGGGGCAGAGGCTGCAAGAAAAACTCAAGTGCATCTAAAAGTGCACAAAAACCACCTACAGAATATTTTCCTTCAGATAAGTTAAGGGGGTGTTGTTTACTGAATTGGGTTTCTCAGTGTTAATGGCTTGGGATTCCCATCCATCCCTCAGCTAACTGAGCTTGTGGCCAGCATGTGGAGATTTCGCATACACTCTGCTGCCATCCATACAGGCTGTATGGATATAGACCGCACTATCAGGGCTGGTGGCAAATGCTGCGGTAGGAGTTATTCTCTCCTCAAAAAGCTCAATTTTTAATAAATTGCACGTCAAAAGATGTCTATTTAGATAGCATATTCCCATGCAGTCAATGAGCATGCACGTTAGACCAAAACACTGTACTCCTGCTTTGGGAAATAAGAGTTTCTGCAAGTATACAAAAAAACCACTTAGCATTCATGTTCTATTTTTTCCCTAACTTGGGTGTCTAACTTGTCAACATGCATTTTAATTTCTAGAAATGATTTCTTTGATTTTTTCCTGTCATGTTGCACAAGTACAAACACCACTGTCAATCTGAGTGCAAACCCCGTTTTCCCTATTTGAATAAATGGTTCATATAATTGCCTCTTCACATTGTCTCCTGCCTTCTGCAGCTAAGCCTCCCTGGTTTGTCTCTGGGACAGAGAAAATGCAATGTGGTAATGCAATTTTTCCAGGATTTCTGATTGGTGACCATTACAAAATACACTTTTTTTCCTTTCACTGCCCAAAGTAACTATAGGTGTTTTGCCTACTGTATTTTGAGTTTAACTAAAGATGAAATATTTTGAAAAAGTTGATCTTTTTCTGAAAACAGAGTTACCTTTCAATGTCTTTTATTTCACTCTACAGGAATTTTTACTGCAATGGGTTAAATGACATGAGCAATCTTATTATGGCTTAAGCACTCAATCAGAGTTTCAAGTACTATAACTTGAAATTTTAAAGTTTAAATTAAAAATTCTCCTAAAGCAGGCTGTTAATTAGAGGGTGTATTTATGGTCTCAAAAAAGCCTGGCCCAACTTGGTGTCTTGTTGAGGATACATGAGCAGAAAAGGCCTCAGTGGAGGGAAGTTGAAGCATATAACATGCTATATACATGATCACACTTGCCATATGCTACAGTGGAGTTTTCTCTAATCTCTTTTTGGTTATTAAACAGAAAAAGACCTATCAATGCATCAAGTGCCAGATGACCTTTGAGAATGAGAGAGAGATACAAATCCATGTCGCTAACCATATGATTGGTAAGACATTATTTAAATTAGGCCACTCATTGGCTGCTTGTTTTTGCTACTCTTTGAAACTAACTATTCTGATAACTTGTTAATATTCATGCTGTAATTTATTTTTTTATATTTCCTTTCAAGGAAAATGATTTTGATGTAATGATTCTTCACTTCAAAGCTTTTTAAATATGTGGTTATAAAAGTGTTACTGCTGAGCTTTTTTCTTATCCTTTTGAGTCCTCATGTAGCATTTTCATTTATATTAAAATCAAACTTTTGACAGTATCTTCCATTTGATAGCATAAATTTCTCTCTATCCATGTAAAAAGTACTTGCCAGTTGTCAACCACTTAGGAGCAATTATGTTTCAATTTTGTATGTCATGACATTGAATAGATTTAACTGCTAGCATTTTCCCAGCTAAGTGTGGTGAATTCCTGGGAAACATTGTCAAAACAAAACACTTACAGGGTTATTTCAGTGGGTTTTTTCTTCTTTTCCCAACAATTCTGGGCTTCAGAAAGTTCAACTTTCAGATGCACAAGTGTTTTAAAAATCAATGTTTGCTGCCTTCTACTGCAGTCCTGTTGCAAGAGTTTGTAGTGAAGTGTTATTTTAATCTGATGGGTTGTATTTCTGCTGCAGCTGTATGATTGCTTTCCTGATGAACACAAAGAAATGTTCTTCCTGTCTGTACAGATGTTATAAATATAGGTACTGGCCCAAGAGGTCAGTTTATTTTAGTGCATAGACCACAAAGGAGTTACTTGCACATGCCACTGTAGGTATATGTTGGATGAGACCCTTCAAGGACCCTGCAGCACACTCCGTGTGACGTATGCTCACAGGCAGCATTTACTTCCCATAAACATAATGGTTTTCCTTCAACAATTTTACATCTAGGAAACTATTCTCCTGTCAATGCATGTATGTAACTCCTATTATCTTTGAAGTGAATTATGGATAAATACCAGAGAAATATGGACTGACACAGTCTTCACACTCCCAAACCCAAATGAAAAATATATGTGTCACTCACAACAATTTTTGTCTGAGAGCCAGACAGAATTTTGAAGTCAATGACAAGCAGGTTAAGATGAAGGTGTCTAAAAATGTTTGCTTTTGTAACAGGTGTTAATGTAAGGTCCTGTTTGCAAGCTTGAAAAGTGAGATCCTTGTTAATTGGACCACAGTGATTTCATGTAGCTCCCCCTAAATTTTTACTTTTTTTTTTAGGAAGCCTGAAAGAAAGAAGTCATTAGGCAAACCTAGTCCTTGTTTCAACTTCATTTGTGATCCAGTGGCTAATAAACGATTTTTAAATACAAAGGTCATGAAGTGCCAAGTTAAGGTTCTGCTTGATCCGAGAGGGGAATTCTTTTTCCTTTTGAAAAGATGTAATTTCTGCATTTTCCAGTAACTGATGTGTGAAGTTTATTTATGTATATCCCCAAATTAGTGCTGTCTGGAATAATACATGATGACATTACAAGGTTCACTATTAGTTCTACTGGAAAACAACAATGGTAGAAGGCATGGGTGGCTGAGAAAAGTGTGGTACTGCTGTTTGTGAAAACTGTGCCTATTGTTTCCTTGGAGCTGTACATAAGTTATTATACATATTTGGAAGAACTCTGTATAAATACAAAGGTATGTATAGACACAGTGCTGTGTCCTGGAACATTGTAAATACCAGGACATGGTGAGAAAATGCGTGGTTATTCCATTGTGGTGTCAAGTCTTTGTGTTGCTTTGCTGAGATATGGACTGAGAACATTTGTTAAGTTCAAGCCATCACTCTTTTTTTATGGTGCAGTTTAGGAAAGAGTAAAGTATAGACAGCTTCAATATGGAGCCAAGCTTTCTCCCACTGTGGTCATCTCAGTGCACAAGGCATTTGGGCCTGCTCTCCTCCAGGACAAGGTGACTGCTTCCAAAAAGGTATTGCCAGTGAGCCTGCTGATGGTATTTTTTCTTTACTGGGGAATACTGAAGGTGAAAGGAGAGGCTAGATGTCACCATTTCTCCAGCAATAAATACTGTGCAGATTTTCTGGTGATAATTGTATAGTGCTGAGTCAGAAAGAGTAAGAACAGTGATGGACTGCCTCTTGGGCTTGCTCCTGTGCCCTTTCTTCTAAGCCTGAGATCCCTTACTCAGGCCATAGGAGAGATGGGCATGTGTCTCCTCACCACTCAGGCTGGTTTATCACATAAAATAAGGGCTGGAAGAGTTTCCATTCTCGGTGTTAGACCAAGTCTAGCCAGATGGGCAGTGAGAGAAAGAACTTACTATAGCTGTTTCTGCAGCCCAGGTCTGTGTTACAGGGGTTTATTAATGTCATCATTGTCAATTTAAGGTCTACAGATGAAGATATGTTTGTGCTGCAGGGGCACTGAGATCCCAGGGTGAAAATACAAGGTTTTGGGGAGTGGGGGGAAACTTGACCTCAGACTGTGTCTCCCAAGGAGCTTAAGGTTGAACTCATCTCAAAGAACTTATATCTGTCTAAAATTAAGGTGTCTGGTTTAATATAGTCATTGAGATGCTGTCTGGGGAAAATGAATGATTGATACCAATCTAAGATAAGTGTTTGAGGAGGATAAGCATTTCCAGGGAGAGATTTTTATCTCTCTCTTGAATTTGAAGTGAGTCAAGACAATGAAGTTAGCCTTGACATGTAATTTTTAGGAAAAAACCTCCTTGGCTTTGATAATCCAAGATGTCTCAGCAGCACTTTCTTCTCATACTTTGAGAAACACAAGATCAGCAGTTGAGATATCCTAAGCACTGGCTTACGGTTTTATTCTGCTCAAGTGACTGTCAACAAAGGAATCCCTGTTCTGTAGCAGCAACACCTCTCAAGTATCAGTATGTGTAATATGATTAAATAATTCAATTATTTCTTACTTCATAGTCTTAAAAAGTGCATCCAGTTAAGTTGGCTGTGCCTCTCTCTTCAACCTCTCAGCTCCTCAGTCTGCAAGTCGGAAGCCCTGCTCATAATTCATGGAGGTAGGGGGTTTATTTTTTTTGAAGCAGTATGCAGGGAATTTCCAGTGCTACTCCTACACACCGCTTTGAAAAATTACCCTTCTGCACTCTAGCCCTTCATATCCTGTGCACAAACACAGAGGCACATTGGGTCCTGCACAGGGTCCCTGGGGAAGGAGCAGGCTGGAAACATCCCCAGAGGAGGTAAATGGTAGATGTTTTGTTTCATTTTACACTGGAGCCTGTAGGAGGGCTGTAAGCAGCAGAACAGACCTCCTCAGCTGCGCCTAGCCAGGAAGGGATCTGTTTAGAAATGTTTTCAGCCAGGGAATGTGAGGTGTTCAGGGTGGAATTTTTAGAGAACAGAGGTCTTTGAAACATTGCACTGATTGGGGCTCCTTTGAAACATTTCCATGCCCACAGAAAGGGGATCCCCCTTTGAAACATTTTCAGGCATTGGGGAGTCCACCTGAGACTATATCAAAAACTTTCAGTAGTTCTTGCTGCCTCTGTACTTGCTTACCTCCTGTTGCGCTGACCTGGCCATGTTTAATGCTTCTCTCCCTTATCTCCCTACCTACCACTGCCTCTGATGTGCAGTCTCTACTAGGTGCAGGGAAGGATGGGCATATGCAGCCTTGGGCTCTATGGGGGGCATTGAGCAACCATGGCAGCAGCCAGAAACATGGAAATCTGTCAGTGCAGCTTCTCCCCGTTGTCTAGGGGAGCCATGGAACTTCAGCTTCCATCACAGAGCCACCACTGAGTCCCCACAGCATTTGAATGGTGGCTGCCCTGGGGAAAGGGCCCCAGCACTCAACCATCCTGTGCTGCCAAGGGGAGGCCCCACTCAGAAACCTTCACAGGGAACATTAGGATTTGGCCCTGGGGTTTCCTATTGGTTTTTTATAGCTGTGCTGTTCCCAAAGCCAGGCTGGGTGCCCTAGTTAATATTTTTCAGGGTGCACAAAATTCCACAGATATATCACTCTCTGAGCAGGTAAGGTCACCCTGTACCATGGAAAAGTGCATTCGGATCTGTGCTGTGGCTGTCAGCTGTTTGGATAAGGGAAGTGGCCACAGCAGTAGTCTCTGTCTTGGTTAGATAGGGGATGTTTCCTATTTAGTGTCCAAAAAGGTAAACAACTGTCCCCACCCTACTTTCTCCCTTTCTCTAAGAAAGCCTCCTGGCAATCATGCACAGGAAACTCAACTGCAGTGCAGTTAATGCTGGACCAGGGAAAATAATGATTCCTGGTCATGCTCTAACACTGGGATAGCTGCAGGACTTTTCTGCCTCCGGCTGCAGAGGTGTGTAAGGGTTTGTGGGCTCACGAGAGCTTGTCTAACTCCTCGAAGCTAAGCAGAGTCCTTCCCTGCTGCCACTACTGTCCTTACACGTGAAATTGCTGGTGCTCCCAGTCAGAATTCATGTCTGAATGCTGGTAAGCAGCGAGAGAGGGAGGGGGGCGCAGGCTGGACGTGTTGCAATATATACATGAGGCCCTGTTTGTGCTTTGAGAGCCACTGGGGTGAAAAGGGAGTGCTGGAGGGAAAACTTTCAGAAGTCACATGGAAATTGTTCAGTGGTCTGGTTATTGGACTGCTGTCTGGATAAATACCTCCCTGTTTGATGTGATGGGGATGACAAAGTTAAACACTGTTTTTGAAGGAATAGGGAGAATTTTCTGAACACTGTCCTAAGCCGTGGTATATCATACATTGTACGTAGTGCAGGACTCCAAGTATCTGAATTACCTTTCCTGCCTTCTGGAGATCAAGTTTCAAGTTCTGGAAACACTCTGCCAGTATTAAAAACAAAGAGGAGGGATAACATCCATTCACAGTTAGGTTTCTGTCAGATGCATAAAAGTATTATAAACAAAAGTGACCCAATATAGGTTTGGTTTTTTTGTTGACATCTAAAAATAACAGAATATCTAAAATTAACAAAATAAATTTGTTGCTCATAAGAAGTCAAACTGCAATAATAATCACAGAAATGATTTTCTAAAATGCAGCAA